GATAGATAGATACAGCGAGAAGGACTATAACAGCTAATTAGTCCACACAGCAGTACAGAGGGTTCAGTTCAACTCACTTCTGTGGAACAGTTAATATACAGGAAGTCCAACTCACATGGCCTGGGGGGTCCAAAGTCAAGGAAGCAGACAGAGTCCTCCCTAGAACAAGGCAGGCAGACTGTCCACAGGCAGCAAGCAGCAGGGTGGGTCAGCAACAGTCAGTAGCCGGGAGCTTAGAGAAGCAGGTCAGGAAAGGATATCAGATGCAAGCAATGCAAGGCGACAAAATTCCCGCGGCGTGTGGCAGCGGGTGTCTCAGGAGCCTCAAGCGCTAGCAACACAATCCACGGATTGGCCTGGCGTACAGGTAGTGTAGCTCACGGGTTAAGGCAGAGACATAGCTACAGCAGCAGCACATACTCTAACCAGCTCTTGTCACCAGAGAGCAAGAGGGCGGGTGGGGGAGGGCAGGCCTTGCAGAGCCATTTATCTCTTTGCCCTCTGATCAAACTGCGACCTGGTTAATCCCACATGTTCCTATTGGCCAGGTTGGCACAAAAACCTACCGATCACACTCACCATTTTGTCTTATGGTTACTCTCTGCTTTGTATGGTGAGTTAGGCGAGGGTTTGCTGCGCAGACCATCGGGTTGACAGGCAACCACCCCGGCACATCCACTACATCCCCTCCATGTTCTCTCCCTTAGCCCACTGCCTCCCTGGGGCTCCTGTCTCCGTTCGTCTAACTCTGTCCTTGGGGAAATGCTGCCCTTTGGATCTGAAATGACCGATGAGCTGATGATTCCATCTGAGCGATGAGTTCCGTTGATGCAGGGTCATTGCCTTCAGGGTTCCACCAGTCTCTGTTTGACCAGCAAGCCTGCTCTCTTTTATGATTTTAGATTATATTTTTATTTTTTATCAGTCATTTTATTGGGGGCTCTTACAAATCTTGTAACAATCTATCAGTTGTATTAAGCACACTTGGACATAGGTTGCCATCAACATTTCCAAAACCTTCCCTTTCTTTCTGGGTATCAGCGCCTCTTTTTTCCCCTCCCTCCCACCTTAGCGAATCCTTGATCAATGATATATTATTGTTATTTTGAATCTTACATTGTCCATTGTCTCCCTTCACCCACATTTCTGTTATTCATCCCCCTGGGGGGTGGGCTGTATATGTAACCTTGTGATGGGTTCCCCCTTCCTCCCCCCGCCCTCATCATCCCCTTACCCTCATGATATTGATACTCCCACTGCTGTCCCTGAGGGTTTTATCTGCCCTGAATCCCCTGTGTCCAGAGCTCTTCTCTGTACTAGGAGTTTAGATTGGGATCCACACTGTTCTCTCGTGCTGTACAGACCAGAACTTGCTAGTAAGAGTCTTTCCAGAGTAGGTATTATTCGAGGTAGCCGGGCACCATCTATGTTTTCTGGCCTCGGGGTCGTTGAGGCTGAGGCTTGTGACATTTTAAAGATGCTATGGTTAAAACGGTGAATGTTAGAGCTATCTTGTTTGCATTACAACACTGGTCCTGCGTCTTTATGTGATCCTGGGCAAATGACTTAACCTCTCTGGGCCCCAATTCCTTCACCTGTAAAATGGTATGGGAAGAGTTCCTACCTCTTGCTGTGGGTGGTTTTTGAATAGCTGGCAGATGGAAAGCACTTAGTTCCTCGAACGTGAGCTTAATATAAACTTAATTGTGTTTTAATATGAACTTAATTGCGTTTTATGATGATTCTTACTGTTTCCTTTCATACACCATACAGCAAGCACCTTGTTGGGTCACCGCCTTCCACCTTTCTACCACAGCTGTTTGCATTTGGGCCCAGGAGAGGAGAGGAGAGGGGAAGGGAGGGGAGGGGGAGTGCGCAGGCGCAGTGGGGCAAACGGCCGGGCCGCCGAGCGGACCGCCATCTTTGTAAAGGGCAGCGAAAGAGGCTTCACGACGTCATCAGTCTGCGCCGTGGGCGGGCACCCGGCGGTCGCAGTTGTTTTCGGGAGCGGTGGGTAAGGTAGGCTGGCAGCGGTGAGAACTACAGTGAGTGCCTGAGGTTCGCGATGGGGGACGCGGCTATGGCCGCGGGGCCTTGCCCACTGCGCGAGGACAGCTTCACGCGCTTCTCGTCGCAGAGCAACGTGTACGGCCTGGCGGGCGGCGCGAGCGGGCGCGGGGAGCTCCTCGCGGCCACCCTTAAAGGCAAGGTGCTCGGCTTCCGCTACCAAGACCTCCGACAGAAAATCCGGCCTGTGGCCAAGGAGCTGCAGTTCAACTACATCCCTGGTGCGTGGCGCTATGGGGCTGGGGAGCTTTACCCCACCCTCCCCACCCCCCGACCCCCTACCCCCCATGCGTAGTGTTGAGAAGACCTCTAAGGCTCTGTCTGAGCAGGATCTCTTAGGGGAATGGATCAGCGTGATTGAAGGACGTCAAGAATCATTAAAGTCAGCAGGCACAGGAATCAGGAGTCAGGGGTTTAGGATGACACAAGCTCAGGTTAGAGTCCCAGACCTTATCAGATCATGCTAATTGCCGTGTTGTGTTCGTAGATTACTGAGTCCTAGAAGTCAGGGGTCATGGGGACAGGAGGGAGGGGAGTACTCAGGGATCAAGAATCTCCCTGAAATAGAAATGCTGAACTGTCCCCTGGCAGTGGACGCAGAGATTGTCTCCATCGATACCTTCAACAAGTCGCCACCAAAGCGGGGCCTGGTCGTAGGGATCACGTTCATAAAGGTATGCAGGCCCCGTGCCACCCATGTGATGTCCGGTGGTCCCTGAGAACCTGAGCCTGCTCCCTCCTGCTGTCCTGCCCTCCCCTGAGGCCTGTCTCCTCCTCCAGGACTCGGGGGACAAGGGCAGCCCCTTCCTCAACATTTACTGCGACTACGAGCCTGGCTCTGAGTACAACCTTGATTCCATCGCCCGTGAGTGTGGCCAGGACAGGAGGGGCTGGGGAGGGGGCCTCCCAGGGCCCCCGGCTCATGTGCCCTGTTCTTTTCGCAGAGAGCTGCCTGAACCTGGAGCTGCAGTTCACCCCTTTCCAGCTGTGCCACGCGGCGTAAGTCCCCTAGGCACCCACAGCCTTAGCGTGGGCGGCACCCTGGAGTCTCCCAATGCCTTGGTGCCCAGGGGGTGTCATGGGTCACAAGTTGGCAAGGTCGGCAGTTTGAACCCACCAGCCCGCGCTTCTGGAGCAAGAGGAGACAGTCTGTTCAGGAAGAGAAGTCACTGTCTGAGAAATGCTAGGGAACCGTTCCCCTCTGCCCTATAGGGCCCCTCGGGAATGGGGATAGACTCAGTGGCTGTGGGTTTGGCTTTCCGGGTTTCCTTACAAAGAGGGTCAGGTTCCTGCCTGGCAAATGAAGGCCTGGATCAGAGGTTAAAAGCAAAAAGTGCTTTAGGAGCCAGGGAAGCAGCCTGAGAGTGGATGTAAGTAAAGAAGGAGGGAGGAAGGGTGAGAAGGGGTGGAGTGGAAGGATCGACAGCCAGCCTGCCCAACACACTCAGATTCATCTCTGTTTTAAACCTCGTTCTTTAAGCCCTAGTGGTGCATCAGTGAAGTACTGGGCAGTTAAAGCTGTGGCCGCTACACGGGAGAAAGGCCTGGCTGTCTACTCCCCTAAAGGTGACTGTCTGGGGCATTTCACTCTGTCCTCTAAGCCACTAGGAGTCGGAATGAACTGATGACAGTGGGTGAGTCGAGTATACCCTACCTAGCATGCTGAGATTCCAGAAGTTCCTTAAAGTGTGGAGATTCCACTGGATTTCACTAACGCAGGCTGACTGGAGAACCCTCAGGAGTTAGCACTCACAGCTTGGCAAACTTCTTCCGTGCGCAGGACCCAAACAAATCAAAACTCCCTGCCATCCGGTCGGTGCCGACTCACAGCGACCCTCTAGGTCTGGGTAGAACTGCCCCTGTGCGTTTCCAAGACTAACTCTTTTACGGGAGTAGAATGGACCAGGTGGTAAAAATTGGGTCTTGGGCGGGGTGGGGTGGGGTGGAGGAGGTGGGCGTGTCCTACAGCCTCTATCTTGACTACCCAGCTCTGCGATTGTTTGGGGAAAGCAGGCGTTGTTAGCTAGGTAAATGAGTGGGCACGGTGGGCTCACGAAACAAGGTTATTGCCGCAAGCAGCAGAGGAAGGGGGTTCAGGGGTCCGGTGACAGCACACTGCCGTTCTGCATCCCAGGCTTTATTTAGATGCCCACCAAAATCTGAGCCTTTGAGAGTCCATACCAGCAAGCTCCTAAAGTTCTCATTCTTCCTGGGCCCACAGTCTACTGGGGGGGATCTAGATAAAGAAGAAAGGCAGTGGTGGCCCTCTGGGAGAATTCTCATCTTCCACGCTGGGGACGCAGGTTCCACTCCCTGCCAGTGCCCCACTGCCTGCAATAGAGGCCGGTGATCTGGAGATGAGGCAGTGGACCCCTGTGGAATACCACGGTCTGATGTACAGCTGGCCGCGGGGGTGCCTCGGGATCGGGCGGCATTTCGTTCCACGCTGCGTGGGGGCGCCGTGCGGGGGGTGGGGTGGGGATGGGGGAGGTGTCAACGCTACGGCAGCTGGCAGCCACAGGGTTAAAGCAGCCCGGGCTTTCTGCGGGCCCCAGCCTCCCTTTCTAAGACCGAATCCACCGCGGGAATAAAAGAGTGGTGTTAGGACTGCGGGAAGATTCCAGCCGGCTGCCATTCGGGACCGCCTAGCTGGGAACGTTCTGCAGTTGATCCACTCGCAGGGCTAGTGTCCGCGTGTTCAAGACCCGGAACAGGGCCCCGCCACTTACCACACACCTGGGTTACCACGGACGGCACTTAGGACCGCCTGCCTGCGTTTCGTTTGTCCGCTGGCGCAGTTGCTTCCGCGTTTTCTCCAGCTGCCCTTTAGTGCAGCGGTTCTCAACCTGTGGGTCGCGACCCCTTTGGGGTTCATGGCCCTTGCACAGGGGTCGCCCAAGACCATCGGGAAACACACAAAAATTCCACAGTATATACAGTAATTGCATATTGTTTTGTGATCAATCACTATGCTTTAATTGTTTAATTATGTACCTTTTGTAACAATAAAAGTATATCCTGCATATCAGATATTTACATGACGATTCATAACAGTAGCGAAATGACAGTGATGAAGTAGCAATGGATATAAATAATGTGATGGTTTGGGGGGGGTCACCACCACATGAGGAACTGTATGAAAGGATCGCGGTGTTAGGAGGCTGAGAACCGCTGCTTTGTGCTGTACAGTGTCCCAGTGTGTATCTCACTGATGCCCTGATTCTCAGAGGTCCCCTTGATCGGATCTTTAAAGATAACTGAGCAAACGGGGCACTAAAAATGGGGCAGGGGCACGTTCTGATCGGAGATTCCAACCCTGAGTCCGGTGTCTGGCTTGGGACGAACGCCCCCAGATAGTACCCCATTTGGGTTCGGCCACGTTGGGGTTCTAGACGGCTCTGCTTTCAGGGTCCAGATTGGGGACCAGCTGGAGACTGTGTTTCTTCTGAGTGGGAACAACCCAGCCATACATCTCTACAAGGAGGTGAGGAGGGGGAGGCGGGAGGGGGGGGCTGCCCTTGGGGTCACGGCAGGGCCCCTGCTGACCCCCCCGCGGGGTTGGGGCGGGTCTTGGTCTCCTCAGAACGAGGGGCTGCATCAGTTCGAGGAGCAGCCGGTGGAAAACCTCTTCCCAGAGCTCACGAATCTCACCAGTAGGTAAGAGAGACCACCCCCCAAGGTGGTCAGCGAGCCCAGAACATGCACCGCGGGGTGGGGGAGGGACCTCGGGCGGTGGCGGTGCCCTTGGAGAAGTTGGGCCGCGGGGAGGAGCTGGGGGAAAATCGGACCACAGGTAGGACTGACCCCAGAGAAAATGGGGTGGGCGCAGAGAAGTCACAGGCTGGGAATGCCTCCTCCCCCGGGGAAATTGGACAGTGGGCGTTTCTTCGCGGAAATTGGGTGGCGGGGAGCACCCATCCCAGCGAAATAGGGCAGCTAGGGGTTAATTCCCTATAGGGTCGCTCTGAGTTGGCAGTTGACTGATGGCAGGGAAGTGGGGTTTTGGGGGTCTTGGGGTTAATTGCCTCGAGAACGTGGGGTGCTGGGGCTCCTGAGAAGGCTCAGCTATCCCCTGGGGAGGTGGGGACGTGGCGATGTGAGCCCAGGACCCTCCAGCCACCCCCGCGGTCTGCTCCCCAGTGTCCTCTGGCTTGATGTCCACAACCTGCCGGGCACCTCTCGACGGCTCACTGCCCTCGGCTGTCAGAACGGCTCTGTGCGCGTGGCCCACGTGGACCAGCAGAGTCGTGGTGAGGGCGGGGACTTGGTGGGGGTGGGGCTAGGGGCGGGGCCGGTATGGGGGCGGGGTCTGATTGCTCCCCACGCCCCCCCCAGAGGTTTTGCAGACCTGGACGATCCTGCAGGACGGTCCCATCTCCCGTGTGATTGTGTTCAGCCTTTCAGCCCCTGAGGGTGAGCGCGGGGGGGTGGGGTGGGCTGGGGGGGCTGGTCCTCTGTAGCCTCAGCGCCCCCGGTTAAGTTTCCATCCCTGTCCCACAGTTTCCTGTGGTCTAGCCTGCAGCCTGCAGTCCCGCCTCCCCCTCCGCTCCCACGTCTGTGACTCCCATCTCCTTGCCCAGGTGGCCCACCTCAGCTTCTCTTGTGCTAGGCTCCACCTCGTTATTCCCGATTCAGCCCAGCCTTCCAAACTCAAACTCACTGCCATCAAGTCGACTCCACCCTCCAGTGGCTGCCGACTCATATCGCCCCTACAGGGCAGGGTGGAACTGCCGCTGTGAGTTTCCGGCACTGTAATCCCCACCTCTTCCCAAGGAGCCGCCTGGAGGTTTCAAACCGCTGACCTTGTGGCTCCCAGCCCAAAGCATAACCACTACACCACTAGGGGTCCCTCGTTCAATCTTTAGACTTGGATAAATCAACCCAACCTGATGTCCCCTGTCTGTCCCTTCATTGCGACTCTCCATGCCTGGAGCTGCGTTCCCACCTTAACCCCCCACCCCCACCCCACCCCCACCCCCGTGGTTTAGGTTTCACCCCTCACCTTGTAATCGCCTGCGATTGCCTTCTTCCCTGGTCTTTCCACTCACTCACAAGCCATGATTCAACCTGGGCATTTCTGTGGACCTCTAACGCTGTCCCTCCCCGTGGGGTGTCTAAGCTAACCCTTGTCCTCCACGTGTCGCTGTGTGCCGCGGTCAGTCCTCGGTCGCCATTTCCCTGTCCCTGACTCCCTGTCCTTCTAACTGCGGTCCATCTTCCATCTCTTGGGCTGGTCTCTCTCACCCCTGCTCCCTCCCACCGTGGTCTAACCTCAGACTTTATAAATCCAAGACTGGCTCCTTCTACCCTTTGTCCCTGGTTCAACCTCCGACTCTCTGCAGGTCGAACCTGCAGCCCTCCTGCTCTTAGAGCCCAGTTTGCGAGGAGACTCCTCGAACTTGTCTCCCGACTGAGCCCTCCCGGGCTGGTGTCTCTTTTTCAGAGATCAAGGAGCACCCACTGAGGGAAGAATACAGCGTCCTTGTGGCCAGCATGTTGGAGCCAGCGGTGGTGTACAGGTGAGGAGGGGGCCTTGGGTACGCGGGAGCAGCCTAACCTCAAGACTTTGCACCATGGTCCAACCTTGTCAGTCTCCAAAGAGAGTTCATCTGAGGTGGGAGGTGGGTGTTGCTTAGTGTTGGGCTGGGAACCTTGTGTGTGAGTGTTGTAAGTCTTTTAAGGGGTTTGGAAGGCGCCCCTGAGGCTTTGCTATGTATGGGACAGAGTTGTCCAGACCCCTCGGAGCAGGCGGACCTCAAAGTGAGCTGGCCAGCAGTTAGCGCTGGGCTCTGTGCCAGGGAAAGCCTTGCTCTGCTTGCTTGTTTGCCAACTGTCCTGGTTTAAATGCTCCCACCGTAAGCCGCCAACATGGTGTCGGCCAGCTGGCCAAATTGCCATGAATGTCACAGGGGCTTCTCGAGACCAGCCCGAGCTCAGCACAGTGGACAGTGAAGATGGCCCAAGCGTGGCCTCAGTTCTCCGAGCTTCCTGGGCACAACGTGGGTCTCTAGACGCCCAGAAAGGACAATGTGGGTTTGCATTGGGGAATGAGGTCATCCAGCCTCCAGAAGGGGGACCCGTGGGTGCCCACAGGGGCATAGTGAGGGTAATGAGCACCCAGATCAAACACCCCACCCTTAATGTCAAGATGGACAGATGTCAATGGCAGGGATATGTCAGTAGAAACCCCTCTCCAGCTGTCCTACCTGATGGTGGTGCCGCAGACTGTCATTCTGTGCCTTTTCTGGTAGCCCCTTGGACTTGTACCTGGGTGGAAGTGACCCCCCCATGCGCCCCCACTCAGTACCCCTCTATATCTATACTGTTTGAGGGAAGATATCGTGCTCTGCTGGGTTAATAGACGCTGCTTTGTGGCATCTTCGACGGTGTCCAGGTGTCTCTAAGTGAGATGAGATTTTGTAGACCAACACCCCCCCACCCCACTCCTTAGATATGCCCCTGAGTGCCCATATGGGGAACTTGGGGGTTGACACCCCACCACCACCACCAGAAATGAGCCATTTGAAGGTGTCCAAATTGAAAGTGATCTTGTACAGCCTGGATGAGCCCTGGTAGGATGGTGGGTGATGTGTTGGGCTACTAACTGCAAGGTCATTAGTTTGAAACCCACCTCTTGCTCTGCTGGAGCCTCAGAAACCCACAGGCAGTTCTGCTCTATCCTAATGGGTCTCTGTGGCTCGATGGCCATGAGTGTTTGGTTTTGCCCAGCCTTCAGGAGGAATGGGGTGCTTAGAACTAAGAAGGGTGGCCCTGTGGGCACATGGCTCAGAGTTTGCTGAGAAAGAGGCAAGGCTTCAAACCAGTTCTTCCTGGTTTAGTCACAGCCAATGAACTGAAACCAGAAGGGACCTGAATTTTGTAAAACCTCCACTCTCCTAGAAAACAAGGGGAGAAAGCGTGTTGCATGGCAACCAAATCTCTTGCCCGACAGAGTTGGAAACAGTGGTGACCGGCTCAGAGGTGGTGGCCGATCACATCAGTTGTGGTGTGTGTCCTTCTCAACAGGCCTGGCTCTAATTCAGCCTCCTGCATCCAGAGTCTCACGACACCCCTTCCAAGTCTTCTAGTCCAGAGTTTCAACCTGTAATTTTTCCCCTTCTCAATGTCATTCTCGCATTTTGCAAATTTGGGTCTGATCCGGTTTCACTGTATCGGCCGAGACGGAACCAGTTCAAACAAGCTGGGCACTGATGATGGGCACTGGAATCTCACTTGATCTCCCTGCTTTGTTGGGGACCCTCAGGGACCTGCTGCACCGGGGTCTCAAGGACCAGCTTCTCCTCCCAGGCAGTGACCAGTTTGACAGCGTCCTCTGTGGCTTGGTCACTGATATAGATTTGGACGGGCGGCTGGAAGTTCTAGTGGCCACCTATGGACAGGTGAGACCTATGGCATGGGGCCACCCCTCCCCTGTCCTCCCCACTCTCACCACCCTGGTGACCCCTTGCCCTCGCCCTCTGCAGGAGCTGCTCTGTTACAAGTACTGGGGCCCGGAGTCCGGGCTGCCCGAGGCTGAACATGAGTTCCGCCTGCTATGGCAGCGGAGTTTCTCCAGCCCGCTGCTGGCCATGGCTCACGTGGACCTGACGGGGGACGGCCTCCGGGAGCTGGCTGTGGTCTCCTTGAAGGGCGTGCACATCCTGCAGGTGACTGGCAGTGTGAGTGGGGTGGTGTCTCTGAGTGAGGTGATGTTTGATGGACCTCCCACCTTATTAAGGCAAGCAGGATGGGAAGGGGCAGATGCCACGCAAGCTTGTGGTCTCTAAAAGGATCCGGCCTCTGCTGGATCCATGGGCAGCTCTGGAGCACGGGAGTGGTACCACCGAGCACTGCTACCTTCGGGCAAGGGAGGCCAAACCCCTGTAAAAGTTAAGTCATTGGCTGTCGACATCCCCTGGGGGAGGGAGCAACTTCCCAGGTGTTCCTGGAGGAGGTGGTACCTATTAGCCAAATTCAGTTCTCAAGAGAAGGGGCAGCTAGGAGTACTCATAGCCGCTGGGGCGTGGGGGGAGACACCAGCTGGGAAAAGGGGTTTAGAGGTAGAGTCTATTACTGCCAACCACCTCCCCTGCCCTCAAACTTCAGAAAACCCTCTCCATGTTGTTCGTCCACTTCTCATGCCTTCACCATGCCTGGCTCCGCCCACCATGAGCTAACCCGATCCCTCCACGGCCGCCTAACCACCTGTCCCGCGTCCGATGGTTACCTCCCCCTTTCAGGACAGCCAGCTCGCTCCTCTGTGTCTCTAACCAGCTTCCTTCCAGTGACGGACAACCTTCCATCTTCTGTTGCGGTTTCTAGCTTTCAGACGTCCCAATAGAATCGTGTACATCAGGGTGTCAAACCGGTGGCCCGCGGGCCGCATGCGGCCCCCAAGGTAATCTTTTGTGGCCCACGATGCTCTGAAATAAAATGAGAACAGAAAAATTGTTATGAAGAAAATAGCACGTCTCTCTCCCTCTTTCCCTCCCTCTCTCCCTGTCCTTCCTTCCCTCCCTCTCTCTCTCCCCCTCTCCCCTCTCCTCTCTCTCATTCATGTCACAAAGGGAAAAAAACATGCTGTGATGATGATGATGATGAAGAAGAAGAATGATCAGGAACGTGCTCCTCACGTAGTGACCTCCCTTTGGCTCCTAACTTATTTTCTGAAAGACCAGCAAAGTGGAACCTATTAAGCACAACTGAAACGCAACCCGAAGTGACACCTCCTCAGTGTACCCCAAGAAACTTCCACAACCTCAATCCATCCATCCATCCGTTAAAAAAAGAAAAGAAAATAGTGCTTAGCCTATAGTGATTTTTTCTATTTTCATTTTATTTCAGAACATCGTGGGCCACAAAAAATTACCTTGGGGGCTGCATGCAGCCCTCGGGCCACCAGTTTGACACCCTGGTCTACATTACCCTTCAGTAGAAAGGGGGTTGGGCCACAGTAGATCAGGTGGCCAAGGTTAAAAAGAAATAACTGAATCTCTTGAGCAGCAGGTTTGGAAACAATGATGGCTGGCTCAGAAAGAAACAAAAAAAAGCGCCAGTGAGTCGATGCTGAAGGACAGGGCAGAACTGCTCCTGTGACTTTCCGAGACCTCGCTTTTTTTTATTTTTTATTAAAAGATCACTTTGTTGGGGGTTCTTTTTTTTTTTAATTGGGGGTTTACAGCGCTTATAACAATCCATACATCAATTGTATCATGCATATTTGTATATATGATGCCATCATTTTCTTTTTTTTAATACTTTTATTGGGGCCTCTTACATATCATCTTTATTTTCTAAGTATTTACTTTCTATTGAGCCCTTAGTATCAGTTCCTCTTCTTTCCCCTCCCTCTCGAGACTAACTCTTTACAGTAGAAAATCCCATCCTGCTGGTGGTTTCGAACTGCCGACCTATGCGTAGCCAGTACACCACTAGGGCTTCTTGTACACCCACGTTAGACCGAAGTAAAATGGAATTTTTCTCTCTGCACTAGGGTCTATCTAGCGTCCTTTCCATCAGGGTCTAACCTCAGACTTCTCTACTGGTCTGAGCTCCACCCCTTCTAGAGCCCTATTTTTCCTTACGCTCTGTGGTCTGCTCGCTGCCCCCCTCCCCCCAACTGTGGCTGAGCCCCCAGCCTGAGCAGTTGGGGAACTGCCTGAGCCACAGCTCCTCCTCCTCTTCCTCCCGCCCCTCGCAGCACAGCCTGATCCAGGCTTCAGAGCTGGTCCTGACCCGGCTTCGGCGCCAAGTGGAGCAGAAGAGATGTCAGCATCAGCAAGGCCTGGAGACCCCGGGCTCCTGAGGGCCTGCCACCCACCTTCTCCAGATCTCCATCCCCTGGGGTGGTGTCTTCTCAGAGTTCCCTCTCTGGCTCTGCCGCCCCCTGATGTGCCACGTGGACCTGGCTGACCCGCTGCTGTACCCCGTGCCTCGGTTTCCCCACTCACAATCAAGACTGCCTTCAGCCGGCCGGCCTCCACTCAGGACGAGAATGTGTCCGTGGGCCAATACGTGTACTTCTAGCCCAACAAAGCTCCCCCGCCTGCCCCCGTGGTCTCCTCCATTTGTTCTCACATTGGTTGTTGGGCACCAGCTCTTTGCCAGGCTCAGTACTGGGGCTTAGATTTGCCAAGAAGAACCGGGGCAGGGCCGGGGGACAGGATGGGCGTTTGAGAGGAGGGAATCCAAAGTTAGACCCAGACACAGGACTGAGGTTAGATCCCAGTGCCAACCCCAGAGGGAAGAAAGGGAGGTGGCTTCCAGCACAGCTACGGGAGTTCACCCACCATGGAAAGGACTGGAAGAGGAAGGACCGAGGCGAGGCCCCGGTGGGGAGAGTCAGGTCTGAGGGGAGACCCCGCACCCCCCAGCCACCGGGGGAGAGGCAGGTGAGGCTAGTGGAGATGGGGGTGGAAACGCCTGCTTCGGACAAGCTGTGGTTCTAACGGCCACAGAGTCAGAGACCAGACCCCCTAAGAACAGCACTGAGGTGGGGCCCCGGCACCCATGACAGAAGTCAGACCTCGTGCAATGGGCCAAGGTTAAACCCCGGTAGAGAGCAATTGAGTTTAAAGTCCTCATGGTGGTGTGAGTTCAGTGATGGGCCGCTTAACGGCAAAGTCAGCGGTTCAAACCCACCGGCTGTTCAGTGGAAGAAAGCTGAGGCTGGCTGCTCCCGTAAGGATTTACAGCCTCAGAAAGCCACTGGGGGTGGGGGGAGATACACACGTAATTCCACCCCGTCCTACAGGGTCACTCGAAGTCAGAACTGATGCTGGCAGTGGGTTTGGGCTAGACCCAGGCAGACTGGGTCTGAGTAAGCCATGCTGCAAAGATTGAAGGTTTGTTGTGACCTGAAGCACCTAGTATGGGGACCACGGAGTTTGCTGAGGTCTTTTGCCTGGGGTTGGAGGGTGCTCCTGTCCCTGTGCACACACACACACACACACACACCCAGGCCACCCACAAGGAACATAGACCTTTATCTCTCCAGCCAGTGGTGGGCAGGGACTAGGGGAGCCGTCCAGCCCTCCCCCAAGGCAGTCCAAGAATAGAATCCAGGTCAGGAGGGTTGAAGAGGAATTCCTGAGAGTGGTATCCAGGCTGGGCTGGAAGATGGTGTGACTCCTTAGGAGGGGGGGGTGTAGGAGGGGGGCAGACAGGAACCACCGTCGTACTGGTCACCCCTTTGCCTCCTGACATGGAAGTCCACCCATGAGTCTCACTACTGTCCTGGACAGTGAAGGTGGAGCCATGAGTTCTCTACAATCAAATTTAAGGAGCGGAGCTTTCAGCGTTTCCCCACTCCTCCCTCCTCGCCCAGAACCAGGCCCAGGCGTGGGAAGCCGCCAGGAGCTGGATCTGTGCCCACACCTGGCAGGGGGCCCAGGAGTGTGGGACCAGGGCCGCCAGTGGGCAGGGCCTTGGCCACCAGCTAGACCTCCTCCTGCCCGCCCACCTGCGGAGAGGGACCAAAGCTGGGAATCTCCATATTCGGTGACAGGGGTGGGAGGGGAATTCCATCTTCTGAGTACTGGCTGGGCAGGGGTTTGGGGTGGTGAATTCAGTCGGGGTGACCTCTGGTGCGTGTGCCTGTCCAGAGAGGCTGGGACTCAAGATTTGTGCTGTCAGGAGCCTGGGCCACCACTCTGGCCTAGCCTAGCCTTCCGTCCAGCCTGGGGCAGTGTTTAATGGGAGCTGGCCTGCATGGAGAGTCCTGAAGCAGCCTGAATTCCAAACCTGCTCTTGCCACCTCCGGCAAGCCCCTGAGGCCCCCTGTGCCTCGGTTTCCCCAGCTGCCACGTGGGGGTTAGTCCTTGCAGCCTCCTCCCAGGGGCTCGGTGGGTGAGGGCGGTGCCAAGGTGCACTGGGCAAGCGGAAACATTACTCTCGCCTTGCCTGGCCCCACGTGGGAAGAGCCGCCTGGATAAAGTCTCTGGCGACTATGATGAAGTCCGTCTGTGGTTGTCCCCCGGCTTTCTGGAGGAGGGGTTGTGCGGTGTGAGCCCGGCCAGAGATCCTGCCCCGCTACCCGGCACGGATCTGAAGCTGTGTGTGTGCGTGCACACGCGTGGGTCGTGGGTGCACCAGTGCGCGCATGCTGCCGCTGTCCCGCTCCTGGTGCTGAACCCACCCGCAGGTCGGGTCGGAGGCGGGCGCCCTCGGGCTCCCAGCTCCTCCCTTCTCCAGGCCCCTCCCCAAGCCTCCCGCCTCCGCCTCCTCCCCTCCCTCTCCGGCTCCTCCCCCCCACTCCCAGCTCGCCCCCTCCCTCCCCCGGGTCCCTCCCCTCCGCCCTCCATCCCCTCTCCCTCCCCGGCTCTCCCTCTCAGTCTCCAGCTTCGCTCGCTCTTTGCCTCTTTCTCCCTCTCTCCCTCACTCTCCTCGGGCGGAGTCGCCCACCACGGCCAGCCCAGTTCTGGGGGGACCTGCTCCAGGCTGTAGCGGCAGGTAAGAGAGCCCTAGTTTTTTTGGGGGGGTGTCGTGGGAGAGGGACAGGATTCCATCCCCCTGCTCCCCCCTCCGCGGCCGGCCCGGTGAGGGGCTTAAAAGAGCCCCCGGGGGGTCGCTCTTCCTTGTCTCCTTGGGGATGGGTGGGGGGGTCTGCGTATCCCAGACTTGGGTTCTAAAATCATCCCCCTCAGTGGGGTGGGGGCGCCACTTGCAGCCCCCAACATCTTTGGGCCCCTCCTGCGGTCCAGTGGGCTGGGGGCTGGGGGACAGGGAGTTCCTGGACGCTGTCAGGGGGCTGAGAACACCCCGCTCCCACCACCTCTGAGGAAGGAGCTCCCCCCCCTTCCCCGCCTGCATTCATCACCTTTCGCCCCCGCCTTCCTGTGTCTGGGGCTCATCTTTCGGGGTCTCTCCTGTGGAGCGCTTTCCCTCCTTCATCTCTCGCTGCCCAGTCCCCTTCTCGGACTCTCAGCCCCCTCATTCGCTGTCTCTGCCCCCTCCCATCTGCAAGTTGCTTTTCTCTTCCCTGTCTCCCTCTCTGGGTTCTCTTCTCCGGTCTCTGGTCTCCAGCTATCTCCATCTGTTTCTCTTTCTCTTTGCTCTCCCAGCAAGCCTACTTCTTAGACACCTTTACCTCCCTGGGGCAGAGGGAGAGTCAGAGGAAGAAGATTCTGCCCACTCCCCCACCCCCACGGCACACACACCTAGAGAGGACTCCCCACGAAGACCTGGAGTCCCCTAAAGTCCTCTCCCTCCGCATTGTGCTCTCTGAGTGCACGGAATCCCCTCTCCCCTTGCCTGGGTTCTGGGATTCTAAAGCCCATCCTTCTTGCAGGCTAACCTGCAGGGATTGGGCCAGTCCTTCCTGCAGTCTGACTTCCCTACCTCTGGCTGTTTGTCCATTTCCTGGCTTCCATCATCCTTTTGACAAATTTCAGGTGCCTTTCCTGTTCCAGGCCAGTTCTTCCTGCAGTCTCACCTCCTTCCCTCTCCCCGTGAGGCGGCGTGCCAGTCTCCAGCTCGGTTCCCAGTGGGGATGTTTCTCTTCCTTTTGGGAGGTGCTGCAAGAGGGCCCTGTCAGTCCAGAGGTCCCTGGGGCTCCGAGGAGGGAGGGCGAGAGCCAGTGATATGACAGGCGTGTAAGCCTGACAGCATCTTGGGTGCAGGCCGCCTCCCGTGAGCGTGCCCGACTCCAGGGCCCTGGGCAAGGCGGCCACCACCCTGCGTGACAGTGCCCGTGGGGGACTCTGATGGGCTTTGAAGCTTCCTGAGTGAGCAACCCCTCACCTGAAGTTCCCACCTCTGACCCCCGGCAGCTGTGTGGTTTCCCTGAGCTTTTCCTCTCTCTGGGCCTCAGCTGACCCACCACGAGCCAGAGGTGTCCCTCGAAGTTCCAAAACACAGAAGCCCTGGGAGTGGGTGACCCTCCGGCCTGGGGACATGGCTGGGAATGGGTGTGTTTGGCAGCTGGAGCCTCCGCCACCTGGCTCAGGGACACTGGGAATCCCAGCCCCCACCACAAACGCCATCAGAACTGCCACCCATTCCAAAAGATGGCAGCAGCTTCAGGGATGGGATCCCACCTGGCATGCCAGACTGGGCCCACGCCTAAGCCAGACGCCTCACTCGATGGATGAGAACACTGAAGCCCCTTCCCTGGAACAGGGGCGCTCACCATGGACCCAGCTGGCCCGGGGCCCACCAGGCTGGAGGGAGATGGCTGAGGGAGATGTCGTGTACACGTGTGCCATCTGCCCTCCCGGCTCTCACCCTGAGCTCCATCTGATCTTTTTGCCCCTGCATGCTAAACAGGGATTTGGTTTCAGGACTGCTGGTGGGCAGGCAGGAGGCTGGGCAGTCCCAGCTCCCTGGGGACCAGGCTCACACCTCTTTTCAGAGACATTGATCTAATGATTTTTTTTCTCACTGACCCCCTGCTCTGCCAAAGCCCCAGGGAGAGCAGACTGGGTTTCTGCCTGCAAAAATTGAGCTGGGCCATGGGCATGAAAGCACCCCATCCATCCACTGTTTCTGCTCTGCCTGGGGCGTGCAATAGGAGGGACAGGTAGCTGGACCGGAGGGAGGACTTCCTAGGCCATGGTCCCTCACAGAAATAGGTGTTCTTGACTCCCAGGTGCCCCCCACCCCACCCCATGCCCTTGTGTTTCCAGAAAGCCAGGAGGCAGAGGGCGAGAGAGCAAGCCAGCGAGCAGGGAGTCATTGCTTTGGATCCTGGTGGGTTTGTAATTATGCCTAAGTTGTTGCTAATTAGGGGGCTGCTAATTAGATGTATCATTAGGGGCCTTGCTGAGGGGGCTAATTGTGTGGTGGCCCTTTAAGAATAACCCCCTCCCTTGCACACACACACACATACACCCTCCCTGCCTGCCTTCCCTTACTCTTTCCCTCTTCTGGGATATTCTGCCAACAATCTGCCTCTCGCCCCCACAGGAGCCAGCTCCCAACCTGCGGGTATGTGGGTGTGTGTACGGAGAAGGTTGTGGGTTAGACTGATAAGAACTTTTCAGACAGCAATGGGAGGCGTGAGACTGGTGGCCCAGAGAGAGAGGGTGAGAGGCAAACCCACTTCCTCTCTCCTCTTTTTGTAGTTGGCTACTTACTGGGTGGCCATGGCAACATGAGGGTGGGACAAAAGGAGCTGGGAGTGGGGACCCCCTCCCTGCTCTCTCTTTTACCTGGAGAGAGAAACTGGGAGGCGTGGGTTTGGTGCTGTGTGACCTTGGACACATTATTTCTCCTTTTTGAGCTTGGATTTTCTCAACTGAGAAATGGGCGAGGTCTTCCCAAGGTGTGTGTGTGTGTGTGTGTGTGTGTGTCTATTTGAGAGAGGGGAGTCTGAAAAGACTGCACTGAGGAGGTGACATCTGGAGACCTGGGGGGTGGGGGTTGGGGGGGGAGAGAGGCTCGTGGCTATTTGGGGGAGAGGGTTTCAGGAAGGGGCATAGAGCATGTGCAAAGGCCATGAGGTAGGAACGCGTCGGGTGGGTAGGTTGGAGGAAGCCGTTTCAGTTTGGTTTCCTCCTCTTCTTCGGTGCATGTGTGTCCGCAGAATCTAGAGTGGTGGGTCCCTGGGCCCGGAAAGCGTGGGCGTTTGCCTAGATGCACGCTCCAATCCTAGGGCCCCCGGGTACGGTGGTGCAGGCTGGGCACCACACGATGGTATTTCACACAAGAAGACAAGCCAAAGGGGGCTGAGCCAAGGTCCACAGACCTGCAGGTGTAGCTGGATCCCACGGAGGGTGAGCAGGAAAGGGTAGGAGATGAGGTCAGTAAGCGAGAGGGGGAACGGATAGGATGGTGTCTTGGGGACTTGAGGAGGGAGGGCCGAGAGCCGGTGTGTGTTGTGAAGGGAACTGTAGAGGAAGGAGACACCAAAATGGCTGCTCCACCCCCAAGACCAGAGCAGCGGGGAGCCTTGAGCGAGGAGAGACCCACTCCAGCCCCCAAATGGGACCGAAAAGCCGAACGCAGGGCCTCCTTTATCATCGCTGCCGAGTGATTGTTCAACTTACAGAAATCTAGAGAAAGCCCAGATCAGAGAGCCAGAAGATGAAACAGAGAAAGAGAGACTCTGGCCACGATCGCAGAGAGAAATGCTCTGCCTCTCCGTGTGGGCGGGAGATATCTTCCAGCAGCTTCTCTCCGTTCCACCTGTGAGGTACGGGCACCCCAATATCCATCACAGCCCCAGCCCCCAGGCAGGAGCCCCGAGAGGGCCAGGGTGCAATCCTCTATGGCTGTGTGGCCTCCAGCTCCCAGCCCCGCACAGGGACGGGTGCCGTCTGTGTCTGGTAGTGCCTGGCTCCATTCGCCCGTCGTCTCCCCTGCGGGAGAGATTCACCTGTGTGTGCTCCTGGATGCGTCTGAAGGCCGTTCCTTGTTCACTGCTGTGTCATATTCCACGGTGTGCCCCCACCGTGGTGCGCCGTGCGGGTCCATTTTTACGGCCGAGCGGCGTCGGCTCGGAGAGGTGTTTCCAGATGGGAGGCATTAAAAATAAAGCTGGTGTGAACATTCTTGGCTGCAGACTTTGGGCGGACATATGGTTCTCGGGGGGTATGTCCTGAGGAGCAGAATTACTGGCTCATGGCGTGCGCCGCGGGCGGCTGCCATCAAGCCAGCTGAACTCTTTCCCTCCCTGGAGGCAGGAGGAATCCTCCCTCCTTCCGAGTCTTTCTCACCATCTCTCTGTCTCTGTGTCTCCCCCTCCATCCCCACCCTCCCTGCCTTGGACCTCATTTCCCTCCTAGTCTTCTTGACTTAACCTCCCGCCACCCCCTTCCCCTCCACAGGACCCTTCCAGGCTCCATGGCTCCCCTGGCCTTGGTGGGGGTTGCACTCCTCCTGGGAGCCCCCCCCTGCTCAGGGATGGCCACCCCGACCCCCTCCCCACCGCCTCCCCCGGCCAATGACAGTGATGCCAGCCTAGGGACCTGCCAGGGATCCAACCGCTGCCAGCCGGGGGTCCTGCTGCCCGTGTGGGAGCCCGACGACCCATCTCTGGGTGACAAGGTGGCCCGGGCCGTGGTCTACTTTGTGGCCATGGTCTACATGTTCCTGGGCGTGTCCATCATCGCCGACCGCTTCATGGCGTCCATCGAGGTGATCACGTCCAAGGAGAAGGAGATCACCATCACGAAGGCCAACGGCGAGACCAGCGTGGGCACCGTCCGCATCTGGAACGAGACCGTGTCCAACCTCACGCTCATGGCCCTGGGCTCCTCGGCCCCCGAGATCCTGCTGTCCGTCATCGAGGTCTGCGGCCACAACTTCCAGGCCGGCGAGCTGGGCCCGGGCACCATCGTGGGCAGCGCCGCCTTCAACATGTTCGTGGTCATCGCCGTGTGCGTCTACGTCATCCCGGCCGGCGAGTGCCGCAAGATCAAGCACCTGAGGGTCTTCTTCGTCACCGCCTCCTGGAGCATCTTCGCCTACGTCTGGCTCTATCTCATCCTTGCCGTCTTCTCCCCGGGCGTGGTGCAGGTGAGCAAGGATCCAGGGACACACCACCACCCCCCATACACACACACGTGCATGTGTGCCTGCAAAAAAATCCAGAGTGGGGATTCCCTGGGCTTGGAGAGCTTCGTTCGTTTGGCCTCAATGCCGGCTGGCATCCAAGGGCTGCCAGGCGTGGTTGTGCAGGTGGCGTGCTGCTCAATGGCACGGCGTTTAAAGAGGGCAAGTCAGGTCCAGCCAGGACAATCTCCCGGGGGCCTGTGCACCTACGGAATCCAGAGCGGGTGGATGGGGGACCTCTGGACTCCAGGTATTTGCACCAAGGTGTGCAGCCCTCTGAGGACCGCCTGCTGTGGTCGTCCGGGTCACGCATGGCGCAGTAACGGGTGAAAGAGTGCCAGGGGTGGTTGGCATCTGGCTGGCGCTCACAGACCTTTGTCTCTGGATGCCAGGCCCTGCAGGGGCTCCTCTGCACAGAGGGGGCGCTGCTTGCAATGCCCCATTCAGCCTTGGCAGCCTGCCCACGCAGAAGGGCCGGTTCGGAAGGCTGCCTATAGACACGTTGTCCTGCGTAGACAAGGGGGCTTTAAGAAGTTTGGAGGGGGAGGGGGACAAAGTCTCCTTTATCTGCTCCTTTATCTGTTTTCCTCTTGAAGAAGCCACCCGCACCCCGCCCCACCCTCCTGGTCCCAGAGGCACCCCGTGACCTGTGTGATTCATGCTGTGCCGCACAGGTCACAGCCTAGCCGGGTGTTGGCCAGCGGCTTTCCCCTGTTTTTTCTGTCGCGGTTACCTTGTGCCTCATGTCTCCCCACTCCTGCAGTGAGCCATCGTCCCCTCTCCTAATTCACCCTCCTGCCTAATTCACGCTCCGTCTAAATCACATCCTGGCGGGTGTTCCCTGACAGCGATTGGGTCGTTCCGTGTGATTTGCATAATTTACCCACGGGCTTGGAGGACGCCAGGCCCACATCTGCCCCATCACCGGGCTCATTACCCGTCTTTGCCAGAGATGCGGTCACGGTTTGCATAATTCATTCATTACTCTGCCTTGATGGCCGAAGCCGGCATCGCCGATGCCACTCCGATGTAATTTATACCCACATGCCCTCCGTGGCGCCGCAGGTACAGAACCTGGTGGCCACTTTGCATAATTTATCCCCGTGAGGTTGACATTTTGACCCCGCAGCTACATCATGTACACCTACATTTGCATAATGATCGGCCCCTCCTCTGTCGGAGAGCCCGAACCTGAAGGTGTGCAATAGTTTTCCTTTAAAATATCTGCCCGAGTTATTTCCCACAAACCCACCGTCTTTGCATAAAGTCTCATATGCACACGCTTGGCCTCGTGCATTCGCCCGCATGCATAATTTAATGCAGGGGACGGACGCAGGTCCCATTGGTGTGTGTTTGTGTGTGTGTGTGTGCTGGTTTCAGTATCTGTATGTGTTTGTGTGTGTGTCTGTATGGTGTGTGTCTGTGCATGTTTGTCTATGTGTATTTGTGTATCAGTTTGTGTGTGTGTGTCTGTGTGTGTTTGAGTGTGTATATGTGTGTATCAGTTTGTGTCTGTGTGTGTGAGTCTGTGTGTGTTTGAGTGTGTGTATGTGTGATTCTTGCCTTTCTGGCAGGTTTTAGCGAGTTATAGTTGCTTCTCAGGAAAGACCTGAGGCTGTTTATACCCTCAGGTATAAAAATGTTTTGCAGACGAGACAATAAAGGCAGCGATGAGCCCTGGTCAGCGGTTTGAAATCACCAGCGCCCTTCTCGGGAGAAAGACAAGGCTTCCACTGTAAACAGTGACAGTCTTGGAGACCCACAGGGGCAGTTCTGCCCTGTCCTATAGGGTCGCTGTGAGTCGGCACCGACTGGATGGCCATGCGTTTGAATTTGAAGGAATCTGAGATTCCAGGGAGGAGAGGGGGGGATAGTAGCCCCAGAAAACGGGTGAGAGAGAGAGAGAGACAGAAAGTTACTACGTTTGATGCCTGGCTGTGGACACTGAGCTTCATAGGCTGTTAAAAAGGCTGGCGTTTGAATGAATGAATGCATGAGTGAGTGAGTGAATGCTGTGAGAATTATAAACACTGTGGGGGAAAGGTAGGATAGCGATGGGGATGGAGGAGATGTTTCCTGAGAAGGAATTATGGGAAAGACAGAGAGAGAATAAAATGTCACAGCACCGGGTGGGGAAGCAGCCCCCCCCCCCCCCGGGGACCCCTCTGAGAGTCATGGGGACCATGAGACATTGTCCCTAAAGACTTGGAAGAACTGGTACTAGATAAACTCACCTCACTGCCATCCAGTCATTTCAAACTCAGAGCAGTTCTATGGGACAAGGGTAGAACTGCCCCTGTGGGTTTTCGAGACTGCAGCTCTTTATTTATTTATTTTTTATTAAAAGGTCATTTTATTGGGGCTCTTACAGCTCTTATAACAATCCATACATCCATTGTATCAAGCACATTTGTCCGTCAGTTGCCACCATCGTTTTCAAAACATTTTCTAACGGCTCCTCTAAAAGTTTATTAAAATTAAACATCTACAGGTCTTTATGGGAGTAGAAAGCCTCCTCTCTCTCCCATGGAGTGGCTGGTGATTTTGAACTGCTAACCTTCTGTTAGCAGCCCAGTGCATAACCTTATGCCAACAGGACTCCTTGGGACTAGATAAAGATGACCCGGAGGCAGGGCTCTGGAGGTGTGAGAGGACAGAAACCCAGTGCCAAGTTTTCTCCAGAGTGGCTGTGGGTGGCCTCAGGCAAAGTCCTACCCTCTCTGAGCCTCCAGGTCACACCTGCACCAGAGATGGGGCTGATCCAAACCAGTCCTCGTAGACTCTTCCCAGCCAAGGCCCTCTGTTTTAAAGCAAGTGCGTCGTTACGGCCTCTTTGCTCTCAGATACTCTGACACTGAAATTCTTGGACCAGAGAAGTCTTGCAGCCCCTGAGTTCGATGTGTAGCTCTTGGCCCCAGAGGGCTTGGCTTCAAATCCCACCCACCTCTGCTGCTTACTATCTAGGGGACCTGCTTAAGTTGCAGCAGCTCCTTGCCTTAGTTTGCCCATCTGCAGAACGGGGTTCGCCATAGAACCGACCTCAGTCAGCAAGGCCTCTGGGAGGAACAACTGAATTTCCTAATGTGGAACAGCGCTAAGCACATAGGTTCCCAAACTTATTTTGGCCTCCTGTCGCCTTTTCAGGAAAAAACAAAAAATTACTCAGCAATCTCCTGGTGATTCAAAGCATTTATACTATAGCCCAGAGTCCAGGATAAAGCGTAGGTATTATATGCTTTTGCAGCACCGCCCCGCCTTGGATTGTTCCAGTGCTCCCTACCCCACCAGGGTGTGGTATCACCCACTTTGGGAAACATTGGCTTAGCATGGCTTTCCTGAATGAAAGTAAATGTTCTGTAAACTATTCTTAGCATGAACGAACAGGAGCCCTGGTGGCGTAGTAGTGGGTTACAAGTTCGCCCCCACCAGCCGCTGCCTGGAAGAAAGACGAGGCTGTCTGCTCCTGTCGACATTCACAGTCTCAGAAACCCACAGGGACAGCGGTAGTTTGTCCGCTAAGGTCACCGTGAGTCAGAATCGGCTCGGTGGCATTGAGTTTGGTTTTGGACCGCGAGTCTGAATGGACTCCGTGGCCTCTCGTAACAACAATACATGAGGTAGCACAGACGGCTTCATCCTCTGTTGAACTGACACAGAGGTGCTAGGAAGAGAGGCAGACCCACCCATTTTCAAAGCGCCAGCCATTGAAGAGGCTACGGAGTGTTTCAGGGGCGCCCCAGTGAACTGGCCCAAACACATGTGGTGCTTCTGTCTCGTTCCTAGGATGGTGCCCAGGTCTTAAGCCTTAAGAGCGCCACCCCCACCCCCACCCCAAGTGACCTCTGTTCACCTGGAACAGTGGAGGAATAAAGAGAGTCAGGAGCAGGAGGGGCACGTGGCCTGTGTGGCTCATTGCCCGCCTCCCTGAACAACTGCCTCCTTTGCCACGAGACCAGAAGAACTAGATGGTGCCCGGCTACCCTTGCTGAACACTTTGGATGAAGATCCAGTAGAGGCACCTTGATCAAAAGGGGATAAATGTAGAACCGCGTTTCACATTCTCATAAAAATCCACGAAGCTTAGACAAACCTTGAAAGCCAAAGTCTTCTTACAATCGAACCATGATTCAGCTTCACGGATGGGCATGGTCCTTTTCGAAGCGGGGTCTGAACTGGGAATGAACCTCCTCTCCTCTCTGAGGAGGCAGCCAGGCCAACGTGGGAGCCATTTCCTGAGGCGGAGATGGGCGAGACTGAGCTTGTGGGCTTCCCTTAGGGTGGTCCCCCAGGACTGTGGTTACTGGGGAGTAGAAGAGGAGGGGCTTAGGGAGAAAGGAGCAGAGAGGGAGTGTGGGACAGCGTGAGCCGACCCTGTGTGTGTGTGTGTCTTGGGGGGCATAATGGAGGAGGGAGAAAACACAGAGGCCAAGAGTTGAAGGAAGTGGAGCCAGCGTTGGGACTGCAGGATGGAGACTTCTGTCACTTGGTGGTGGCTGAGACCCTTTGGGTCCTCGGTGAGAGATCACTCAGGAGCTAAGACCGGTTTACCAGGCTCTAGTGAGAGGGAGGACCTGCCAGGCTGTCTCACCAGGAAAACAGCAGCTGGGGAGCAACACAGTTTCACTTTTAAGAGCTTACAACGGCAGGGGGGGTCCTTGGCAGGTAGCATGGGCCTGGGGCAGTACCATGTCTGTATACGGTAATGCGGGTCAGGTGAACCAGGCTTGGCAGGTGTGGGTGGCTGACTGCTGGAAACCTGCAGTGGGCATGGTGTGTGGCCATCCCAGTCATTCATGTTCTAGTGTCCCGGCCACCCCGGTGACAAAGTGTGGACGTGTGGATGGAGGAAGAGCTCAAAGGGCAGGGGAAGACCCAGGAGGAAGAGAGAGGTAGAGGTCGCTCTGGAGAGAGACAGGCAGTGGACGAGAAGAGAACCGTGGAAGCGACCGAATCCACACGGAGATGTAACAAGGACACGGGGCCAGGAAATAGCCGCTTCAAGAAACGAGAAAAGGGGTGGTGGGCAAAGACACCAAGGCAGAGGAGGAGGAAAGATCAAAATGAGAGACCGAGGCAGAGAGGGAAAGAGACAGACAGACAGACCAGACACACACGGCCTGGGTGTGTGTGTGGGGAGGGGGGTTAGGGGGAGAGAGGGAGACAGAGAAACAGAACGAGGGGCAGAGAGAGAAAGATGCAGTGGCAGGAAGGGAGAGCCATGGGGGGTGACGGTCCATGGAGGGAGAGGCCATGGGCCAGAAGAGGGGAGAGGCAGAGAAGAAGGGAGACTGGAAAAGGAGGGAGGGAGACAGATGGAGAGGAGAGGGAGGGGAATGGTCCAGAAAGGGAGATGCTGAGAGCCGCCAGAGGCCGTGGGATCCTGTGGGCGCCCCTGCTGGCTAGGAGGAGCAGGTCTAGCGAGTGGAGCAGCAGGAGAGCGAGACGGGGCGGGGCAGCGCAGACACTCCCAGACGGGCGTGGGGGAGCTGGCGCCCCCTGGCGGCAGGGCGGGGCGGGCGCCCTCTAGAGGCCGGTCCTGACGCCGCGGCCTCCCGCAGGTGTGGGAGGCGCTGCTGACCCTGGTCTTCTTCCCGGTGTGCGTGGTGTTCGCCTGGATGGCGGACAAGCGGCTGCTCTTCTACAAGTACGTGTACAAGCGCTACCGCACCGACCCCCGCAGCGGCATCATCATCGGCGCCGAGGGCGACCCCCCGAAGAGCATCGAGATGGACGGCACGTTCGTGGGCGCCGCCGAGGGGCCGGTGGCCGAGCTGGGCGGCCTGGGCCCCAGCCCGGAGGAGGCCCGCGAGCTGGACGCCAGCCGCCGCGAGGTCATCCAGATCCTCAAAGACCTGAAGCAGAAGCACCCGGACAAGGACCTGGAGCAGCTGGTGGGCATCGCCAACTACTACGCCCTGCTGCACCAGCAGAAGAGCCGCGCCTTCTACCGCATCCAGGCCACCCGGCTGATGACCGGCGCGGGCAACGTGCTGCGCAGACACGCGGCGGACGCGTCGCGCAGGGCCACGCCCGCCGAAGGCTCCGGCGAGGACGAGGACGACGGCGCCAGCCGCATCTACTTCGAGCCCAGCCTCTACCACTGCCTGGAGAACTGCGGCTCCGTCTTGCTGTCCGTCACCTGCCAGGGCGGCGAGGGCAACAGCACCTTCTACGTGGACTACCGCACCGAGGACGGCTCGGCCAAGGCCGGCTCCGACTATGAGTACAGGTGGGTGCCCGGGGCCCCAGCGCGCCACCCCGGGGTGGCTGGGCGGGGAAGGTTGGCTGTTGGCCAGTTGTGGGTTCCCATCCGTCTGGTCCATCTCCTGGTTGCTTTCCGAACCTGTCTTTACCGGCAGTCTCCATTCATGCTTTTTCTTCTTCTTCATTCATTCTTCAGGAGCAAATGAATCCATCTCCACCCACCTCCCTTGCTGGTTGAAAAGCTATCCTCCACCCTCCCGGGGCTTTGATTTTGTTGACCCAATGGAGTCACCTCCATCTACCAACCCTGCCCGCTGCCTCCCCAGCCGTCCTCAGGGGGCATGGTGGTGCAAAGGCCTTTTGCTCTGCCATCAGTCGCATGGGGCATAATTGGCCAGCCACCCATGATCTCCTCCCCCACCACCCCATGTCTCCCTTCGTGGGGAAGCTGCCGTCACTCTGCCCCCTTCCCCTAGGCCTAGGCGACCCTGCCCCCACCTTGAGCCCCGAGCCAGCCTCTCATTCGACCATGGGCCTGAGCTGTCGGGGATCTAGGAGTCCCTTCTGCTTGCTGGTAGAACCAAAGAGCTTGGGGATGAGCTGGTCCCTGCAGCATTCACAGGCAGCATTCACAAGCCTGATCATTGATCAAGGCAGCTGAGAGCTGGGTTCTAGTCTGAGCGAAGTCCTGGGCCCTGTTCCTTTGAGCAGGCAGGGCTGTCATGAACAGCTGCTGACGCTGTGCCCTGCATAAGCGCACCCTATCTCAGGAGCCTCTGTTCGCAGAATAGACAAGGTAGAATCCCATGTCTAGGGGGACGCTTTCCTGACTCTTGGAAATGGTGTCTTAAGGAAGGATACCTTTGGCTAAATTTATACCGAGGCCCCCAGCTGGGTTAGAGTGATCCCATAGGCCTTCTTTTTCCAGAGTTAGCATGATCTCAAACAGCATTGCGGTCCCAGGGTTCTTTGATTGAAGCCCTAAGACTCTGAGAGACCAAGAGAGTCCAACATTTAAAAAAATCATTTTTTGGGGGGCTCATACAGCTCTTATCACCATCCATCCATCCATCCATCCATCCATCCATCCATCCATCCATCACATTTGTACATAGGTCTCTATCATCATTTTCAAAACATTTCCTTTCTACTTGAGCCCTGGGGGGGGTCAGCTCCTTTCCCCTGCTCCCCCTCTCCCTCCGTCCAACATTTTGATTGCTTTACCAGTTGAACAGTTGGTGGTCCAAAGATTCGGAAGCATCTCAAGACCTGAACATTTGCTCCC